TTTAATGATTTAAACTTGTATATAAAGGGATAAAGTCACTATTCCACTTTGAATTTAATGCATAAGTTTTCGGAAATGTATTTATATCTTTGGGAAGCAGTGTATTCTTTGGTTTAAAATCAGAAGCTCTGGATCAACTTTTTCCTCTCCCTGGGGCAAGTGACCTTTCTGAGTCCCTGTGCTCCATCTGTGTGACAGGGATAAGAACAGTGCCTAGCTCGGAGAGCCATTCTGTAGATTTAGATGTGATATTGTCACCATTGTGGATGGCAGTGATGGAGCCAGGAGTGACAGAGGTGCTGCTGCCCTCGGTACCCCCAGGAGTTGTGCCTTGCACTGCTATAACAGCAAAACAATTTAGAAACAACTCGGTATCCAATACTGCGGAAAGGGATGGGATAAATGAATTCTAATATCTCCATACTGTTAAGATCTATAAAGCCATTAAAAAGAATGAGAGACCTATGTGTTCTATGAAGAAAAGATGCCCATACTATCTTAAGTGAATAAAGCGGTGTGGTACAGGTAGAGCATGACATCAATGGGTGTGCATATGTTGTAGAATGTGCACAAGAAAAATCCAGAACCTATCGCAAAATTGAAGCTGTTTAGTTTCCCCCCTGGGGAGTAAATTATAAGACATTTTTGCTTTTTTTATTTTGCATTTCTGCAATTTTTAACATTTTTGAAATTTACATGTTGTAAAAATGAATACAGTTACGAACACAGAGTTTAAGGAGTAAAAGGCACTGGATTAATAACATTCACATATTCTGTTTATAAACATTAATTGAAAATAGTATATGTACTACATAATTTTCAGCTCATTTATAGAAAGTTCAAAGTATTACAAGGCAAGACATTTATCCATTAAATATTTATTGAGCAATTCCTCAGATACTAGCCTACAAGTTAAAATATGAGTGACTTGGTCGTTGCCAGGAGGACAGACATGTAAACAAGTAATTATAGCGTTATCTGTTAAATGTTAATACAGAGTAGAAGAGGAAAGTAATAATTTTGTGTGAAGTAATCAGGGAGGGCTAAATTGAAAAGGTGACACTTGAGCTCTCTCTCTTGCAAGATGAGTACATTCATAAGGGGCAGGGCAGACTGTGATAACCACAACAGTACATGCAAGGAGGTGGCATAGTTTTGGGAAAAGTTGGAGTGGTGGTGGGAATTGGGTGTGTGAAGACTTACTAAGAAAAATGAGTCCAGCTGACATTTTCCTTTTAATGGGAGAGAGCAAGAGACACAAACGTTTTTAAAGGCATTGAGTGACGTATAAAAGTTGATTAGGTAATATTGTAAGAAGAAAACTGTGGTGGTGTTGGATAGAAGACACTGGGATGGGGCAGGAGCTGAGAACTCAGGTGCCAAGGAAGGAAGCTGTATAGGGTAAGGCAGTGGTTTTCAACCTTCCTAATGCCACGACCCTTTAATACAGTTCCTCATGTTGTGGTGACCCCCAACCATAAAATTATTTTCATTGCTACTTCATAACTGTAATTTTGCTGCTGTTGTGAATCGTAATGTAAATATCTGATATGCAGGATGTATTTTCATTGTTACAAATTGAACATAATTAAAGCATAGTGATTAATCACAAAAACAATATGTAATTATATATTCAATATGTGTTTTCCGAAGGTCTTAGGCGACCCCTGTGAAAGGGTCGTTCGACCCCCAATGGGGTCGCGACCCACAGGTTGAGAACCGCGGGGGTAAGGTAAAAGAGCTGCTATCTATTGATGGCTGAGTTCTTAGAGATTGACTAGAACATGTCAGAGAGAATGTAAGTGGCATCTACAGGCTGAAGTGGATAAGCAGATAGGGGTGATGCTATTTTTTAAAGGTGGAGAATCACCACGTATTCAGTCAGGCTTGGAGGCTATAATGATGTCTACTGGAATTGAGTTGAGGCTTCCAAAGGCATCCAGTGACTTATTCATCACCATATTTTAGGAACTTAGAATTTTAGTTCTTTTCAAAAGGATTTTGCATTTGAGGCATCTTCATAATTAAAAGTGGTAACAAACCACTAGTAGTCAGTTTTGGAGGTTCTACCTTCCTGTGGGGAAATAGAGCCCAGAGTGGCCATGAAAGCTACTGAGAAAAGTGGTTTGATTTGAACGTGTAAGAGAAGTTTGCTTCCATTCACCTTTTAGTAAACATGGATGTCTTTCAGCAAATTCCAACTCTGGGCATGGTTAGCATTATGTATAGAACTCTACATCCAGGCCTGGGGGCAGGTCTTGTCTTCCCTAGTGCAGCGGTTCTCAACCTATGGGTCGTGACCCCTTTGGCGGTCGAACGACCCTTTCACAGTGATCGCCTAAGACCATCCTGCATATCAGATATTTACATTACGATTCATAACAGTAGCCACATTACAGTTATGAAGTAGCAACGAAAATAATTTTATGGTTGGGGGTCACAACATGAGGAACTGTTTTAAAGGTCCAGAAGGTTGAGAACCACTGCTAGTGGCTTCTCTAGGATTTCACGCATCTTTGTGTTTCCTAACCAGATTTTGCCCCTTGACAAAGCAAATCTTTTGATAACAGTCTAGTAACAAATGGGTCTGTTCCTGATACATATGAAACCGGTCCAGAATTAGGGCTTTGGGTCCCATGGGCTTGTGTGAATGGTCTGTTTTACCAAAGTTACTTATTCAGCATCACTCTTAAGTCTGTCTTGGACTATCAATGTAGAAAGAAGGAACTTGTGTTTTTACACAAGAACCCTGGTCTTAGATGTGGGACATGAATAAAAAGAAATCTATATATATATAAGGCTAAGTGACCGACCATACGACCAACTGACTGGCTGGTACAAATGACACGCACTGGCAATTTAAAAATAAAGGTTGACTCGCACATGCACAATACATATAAAGCTCTTGCTGACGCCAATCACATGCGTGTGTTTCGATCTGTCATTGTCAATCATGAATTTGGTTGTTTTTGTTGACATTCTGAAGCTGAAAGAAAGCGGCGTCATCGACAGAGTATGTCTGAAGACCAACTATTGGCACAATGTACCTCTGAAGCTGAAAGAAACCGACATCGTCGACAGAATATGTCCGAAGAACAACTATTGGCACAGTGTGCCTCTGAAACTGAAAGAAGCTGGCGTCATCAACAGGATATATCTGAAGACCAACTATTGGCACAACATACCTCTGAAGCTGAAAGAATGACGTTGTCGATAGAATATGTCTGAAGAACAACTGTTGGTACAGTGTACCTCTGAAGCTGAAAGAAGCCAGCATTGTCGACGGAATGTATCTGAAGACCAACTATTGGCACAATGGAATATTGTTCTGGTTCTCTAAAGCTCACAGTGAACAGTCTACCTAATACTTTATTCCTGCCCTTTTGGCGTTTTCTCCATGAAGAATTATTAAACACATAATGTTGTGGAATCTCCCAATAATATAATTACGCACATTGGAATCTTCTCTATGCAATAAGAACCAAGCCATCAAAGTTGAAGAGCGTGTGACGTTAAAGTTAAACTTGTAAATATTTCACAAGGGAAATTAGTCAAGCACTCTGAAAGTGTTTTTACTCTTAATGTGGTCTACAGGGAGATATTAGAATAAGTTTAATCAATTTATCAGTCATTGTTTTTATCAATGTTGTTTTTATATCATGTTTTTGTTGTTTTTATATAATCTTTGTTATATCATGTTTATTTATTAATCAATTTATATATTATTTTCATATACTTTTTACTAATGTTCTTTCATCTCTGACACTTCTATTATAGAGAAAGGGTGAAGAGTGATCTTAAAATATTTCTTCTAATTAATTTCCTTCAATGTGCACGAATCCGTGCACCGGGCCACTAGTGTAGTTATAAAGAACAACGGCTCAGGAATTAGGCTGCTGGGTTTGAGTATCACTTTAACACTAACTAGCTTTGTGAGGTTGTACCAGACTGAACCACTCTGTGCCTCAGTTTCCTCATTAAAATGTAGATAATACTGCTGTGTCTGTCATTGGTTGTTGTAAGGATTAGATGAGTGAATGTATTTAGTATACTTAGAATAGCAACTGGCACACAGTAACACTCAATTCATGTGGGTCCATTGATAGAAAAATTTTAGGCATTTACTCAGACTCTATTTCTAATTTACACGCCTCTCCAGACTCCTGGTGGGGAAGGAAAGTGGAAGGGGGAAGAATAGGAATTGAGGAGGAAATATGTTTGAATGTAGTAGTTTAATAGCTTTTTTCATAGCTATTATGTACCAAAAGCAATTGTCTAGCTTCCATACCCTCACAAAGATAGAAAATCTTAGACTGGCTATGTTCTTTAGTCTTATCTCCCAGACGTTTTTCCTCACTCCACAGCTGCTTCTGAGAAATTTGCCTTCCAACAGTTTTAGCACTTAACCTACCCTGTTTCAAAACTGACAAACTTAAACTCCCAGCCACAACTCCCACCTCGTAGCAACTTTTGAGCTGCTTAAAAATAAGCTTTTTTTTTAAACTATAGTTTTCTCTATTATAGTTTCCTTGGTGTGAGCCCATCACATAAATAATGGAAATAAATGAAGCTTGGCAGGCTTAGCTAAAGTGTGCTTTATGTTAAACAGACTGTATGATATTTCAGATATTCTGAAAACACTCACATGTATTTCTTGTTAAAGAACCTTGGAGTCCCTAGGAAGGTACTGTCACAAAACTGGGTTGGGCAGGTAGTACCTGAGCTGTAACACTCTGTGTCTTGTATTAACAGTAATAATTATTATTTGGGTCGTGACTTCCAAAGGAATTTTTTTGAAAATCTGATTTTTTTCCATCTGTGTCTTTGGGGATGTAGATTTTATTATTTGGTAGTTTCTTTTTAGTGGAGAAGAACCTGCTATATAGGTTGTTTTAATGAATTGTTTTATTCAAGGTGTATTTTCTTTTTTAATTAGTACTCCCACTTTTTTTAGGTGCACCAAATAAAAACCAACCATGATTTTTTTTCTGTATTTATAGGTACTCTTCCTGATGGATGGGAACAAGCCATGACTCAGGATGGAGAAATTTACTATATAAACCATAAGAACAAGACCACCTCTTGGCTAGACCCAAGGCTTGACCCTCGTTTTGGTAAAGGTTCATCTCAAAACCTTTCTAGTTATTTTTGATTATAATTTTTTGTATGTGAATTTGGGAAGGTACTTTTAAATAAAATTGCACTGTTTTGTAGTATTAAAAAATGACTGCTCACCCAAGTTTTCTAGTACTATTTTATATCTTTCACTTTAAACTTGAAAAAGTCAGATCTAAGTCAGCTTTTTAGGGGATTGAGGGAATGTTGTGGTGGCTGACTAACTAGAATCACTGTTCCTTTCACATTTTTGGGAGACACAGTGATTTGTTTAAAATTATCTTTCTACAGTAATAATCAGGCTGTCTTACTGCATCTAAAACCTGGATACCAGCTTTTGTCAGTGACCTGGTGTCTGCTTATGCTTAATTTCAGAGAGTAATGAGTACCATTGTGTGGCCGGGTATTGTAATCTTTTCTGTCATAAGTGGGGGGTTGGGGTACCCTGTTGCCCTAGAAATAAGACCAGTGACAGCATTTTTCCCTTTGCTTCTGGCCTTTTTCTTTCTTTTTTTCTTTTTTTTTTTTTTTTTTTTTTTAAGTAATGGTCCTTTGTTTTACATTTAGGAAACAAAAAGCAAAGTCATATTCCTCTCCAGATCACACGACCGAATCACTAATTTGCACAAAGGAAAACTCTTACAAATGTGCACATTTTGATAATAGTACAAGCGCTTTAATGCCTTTTTATCCAATTTTTTTTCACTGTTTTCAGTTTCATCAGTTAGGTTTCTGAGATTTTTCCAAAGCCATGGAAAAATGACTCTAAAAAGCAGCAGATCATTGTGGTTTCGAAGTTTTTGTCTTGGACTGAATGCAGCTAAATGAGAACAATGTGCAGATCACTGAGTAGGTCAGACTGAGGGGACACGGAACCTTTGAAGCTTTACAGGGGTTGACCTAACAACAACTGTGGGGCCCTTATGGGAAAGAGGAATTAACTCTGTGAATGCCATCAAAACACAGGGTTGGGGGGGTGGGGGGGCGCGAGTGAACAGCCCGGAGCTGGTTGGGTAAAATTAACTTCCCTGCCAGGAATGTTATGAACTGTTCTCCTATGTCTTTATGTATACCTTTAAGCAACCCCAACATTGGGGTTTGCCTTAAACTGGTCAGCTTTGTGGATTGCACCCCCTATTCAAGTAAAGTCAAAGGTGGGATCAGGGCAGAGACTGTCGTTTTGACAGATATTCGGCTTGCCTTAAATGCTACCCTCATGAACTTCAAGACCTATTTGGGTGTTAAAAAAGTTACATGGCATGTTAATAATTTGCAACTTCAGATTCTGTTTAATACTTGAATAAGCCCTTGTGGTTGAAACAGGAAACCGAGTAAGGTAGAGAATTTAATAAATGTTGCCATTTGTATGGACTGGAACGATAACAGCCATGTTTCCTTAAATCATCTTTAATGAATTCAACTTGTCCACATTTTGGAAACTTTTCTAAATGGTACTGTGGGGTTTTTTTTTACCCTCCACCCCACCCCCAACACAGGGTTATGAAAGATGATGATTAACTCTTAGCTAACGACAGAATCAGAAATTGGAACACAGTTGTTTTTTAAAGTATTTTCAGTTAAACAGTGAAATAAAACAACTTGGCTGTGAGCTTAAAGTAGATCCATTAATTACACACACAGCGTGGTCTTTTGTTTTAATCAGAGAAAGTATAAAAAAATGCTTCCTCCCTACCTCCAACACATACACACACACAATCATACAGTTAGATATGCCAAAAAGAGTTTCATAAAATTATCTTAGTGCCTTTAGTTTCCCTTTTTGGGCCCACTGTGTATGTGTATTCCAGACAGGCTTGACAACATGCCAAAAGCTTTTTATTTTGTAGTCCAACTTTTAATCTGTTCCAGACCTTTTCAGTCAGAGCTCAAGTGTAACTGGAAGGGGGCAGGAAAGAAAAAAAGTGTGGGTTTTTCTGCTCTAGAGTGACAGGGAATAGAGACAAGCTGTTAGCTGCTGAATTTGAACAAGTTTTCCTTGAAATCTGAGGTTCTATAGTGGAGTGTGTTTTATCTCTGCCAAAAAAATATAAACTATCCCCTTTCTGACCTTCTGAGCCATGCAGACACAAACAATGGTATGATATTGTTTTATGGTTTTGGAGTTTGCTTTCCTATATACCCCAAATCTGTATTAAAATGTTTGCCAATTCTTAGCTTAAATTAAGTTGACCTGTGTCTTTTAACCTTTTATTTAGAATGGATGATACACCCCCGTATATATAAGCTTAAATTTATCACTCAGCTCCTTCAAATACTGGTCTCTTGTATATTTCTATTCTTTATCAGATGCTTTAGATTATGTTGGAACAGTTAATCAGTTCTTAATATTTCACATGAAGTTAATAATCCATATATCTCAGGAAATTAAATAGTAACTTGTGGATTGGTTCTTTTTATTTATTTTTAATTTTTTTTGTGTGTTAAAAATTTAAAATTTTATTAGAATCTTAAAAGTGATATTCTCTAGGAGAGGGTCACACCGATAGGAGAGCCAGTAGACAACAGGGAGAAATTTCTTTATCACAGGTAAACTTTACCCCTCTATTGAAGTTGTCCTTGCTCTCATTTCACTCTCAGCAAGTCAGAAATTTTATAAAAATGCAATATATGAAGTCAGTGAGTTAATAGGAAATACATCTCCCCAAATAAAGGTCCATTTGTCTATTTAGAGGGATCATTCTCTGCATTATCTTGCCAGGAGGGCTAAGCCTTGTGCATAGGTAGAAACCCGAGGCATTCAGCTGCAAGGTAATTTAAGAGAAGCCAAGTAAAAGGAATTTTGAGCACATCAGTAAGGTTGATATGGGAAGCCGTGGGGTCATCCAGGACTGGTTCTGATTTTGGAACTCACCTTTCCTCACCATTGGTCTCCTTTGCTGCAGCTTTAACTGAACAGTGGCTATCAAGTGGAAAAGGAATTGGACTAGAAGTTGGTAAACCAGATTTTGATTTATTCTCTATCTCTTCTTAGCTATGTATCTATACTACCCCTGATTATTTAAAGGAGATTGGATTGGTTCTTTTTAATCTGATTTTCTTATTTAACATTTAAAACCAATATTATCTTTAACATTTATATTATTTTAGAGAATTTATTAATAATTTGTAACAAGTCATGAAGTGGCAATAAGGACTCACTGATATTTTTGCCTTTGGGTGAAAAAAGGAGGGCTCTTGTTTGCTTGTTTTTACGGAATTATATTAAGAATGTTTTTAAACTTGTATTAAAGAAAACTGATGCTTAAGCATTATGAAGGCCATTACATTATTTCATATAAACACTCTTTTCCTAGAGATTTTATACTTGTAAACATGGAGTCTCAGATATAAACATTTCCTTGTATGTTGTAGAATCACTGTTTTTTATGATACAGTCATATGAATATTTTTCAGTAAAAGCCCTAATGAAAACACAAAAATATTAGAATTTCTGTTCTTCAGAATAAAAGATCTACTCCAAAACACTGATAGTCAATGAACTGATCTTTAATGTAATGTTGTTGTTCCGATTGTTTATATAAAAGGACATTAAATAGTGTTAGCAGTCTGTGTTTCTGAAAATAAGTACTGATAATACCACTGGGATAAAGACATTTTTGGTGTAAATAAAGTATTGGAACCAGAGTTTAGACTAAAAGCATATCTTTTGCATTTTAAAGGAAGTAATGAACAATCTCGTATGGCAAAAACAAAATATCCTTTAATTCCTAATAACAATTCTGTGCCTAGAAATTCTGTTCATGGAACTGTCAAAGGTGATTAAAATCCAGATGTTGATTTTGGTCCTTTGTTTCAATTTCACAAAACTTTATATGTTGTGTGTGTGTGTGTGTGAAAATATTAAGAAATGAAATTAAAAGAATATATAGTAAATATATATGTGTATAAGTAAATATATGTCTATATATAATTTAAGTTCTAAAGCCAAAAGTTGTTCAGCATATCTTATCAAAGTTAAATATTTTCCATAAATAGAGGTTTATTACAATTTTTAACTTTAGACATTCATTAACCTTTCTTTTCAAGACCAAATATTTCTGATAGTTATTATGAGTAATATCTTTTGATGAAAGTGCTCCTAATGACCAGTTAAATACCTAAGTCTGTTCTGTTAGAGGTGTGAAAAAGAAAAACACTAAAGGCTGTAGGAATTAACTCTATTAATGGAGTCTTGTGTAGATAGAATGTCAACATCTAATCATTTGAATTTTATTAAAGTAAATTTCTTAATATCCATGCATTAAAAAAAAGGGTGTTTTGTGTTTTTTGTTTTCCTTACCCTCTTATAATCTTTCCTAGTTATTGTCAGTACAGTATTTGGTTGTGGACTATATTATTAACTACTTACAATGCAGGAGGATGGGGGGGGGGGAGATGTTTCACTATGATTCAGGTAAGAAGAACTGTTGCTAACTAAACATTTTTAACAGAAAAGCCTCACAAAATTTGGCCCTGAAGAGAAATTTATAATTCCTCTAACCAGTATTTCTCAAAAGAGGAGGGGTGTATCCTGGGCACTGCAGGACAGTCAGCATCCCTGGCCCACTAAATGCTGTAGTGCCAGCCAGTCATTGTGACTCCCCATAATGTTTTTTTGTTTTTGTTTTTTTAATGCTGGGAGAAGTAGGGAATATTGCCCCAAATCTGAGCTCCTCTAAGATCTAGGGAAATTATGACCAATCCAAGGTTATATAGTTAAGTGACAGAACTAAAATCTGAACTTGATCTTTTGTACCTAGACATTTTAAGAAATTAAATTTAGTTAATCTTTCAGAAATACACCCAACTCACCAATACTAATATATGGAAATTTCAGATGGAAAAAGATGACTGTGGTTAATGTATTTACTTAAATACCATATTGTAACTCATCTTGAGGATATTGCTCAAAATAATGAGTTTCTAATTACAAAAGAGAATTAATTATACAGTGTGTGATTAGAGCAGACTGTGATGCCTCACCTCTATCATAGTTTTA